GGTGGGGGCACTTCCTTTGTGGGAAGGAGGGCGCCACCCTACTAGGGAAAATTGTGAGCTGTGGGGGCTCCCGCAGGGAAGTGGGAGGGGGGGTGTGGGTGCTGGGACCCGCCACTGACGTTTCTCCTCCATCAGCTGCTCCCCGCTCCTTTCTGCCCGTGGGGGCGCTGGAGGGAGCCCGGAGGCAGGAGGAGGGGCATGGGGCCTTTCTGCTCACCTGCTGTTCCTTCAGTGCCCGGGGCTGCCAGCCTCCCCGTTGTCGGTGCTCCCAGAACCCACCTCACCAAGCCTCTGGGCAGCACCAGCACCTGCCGGGCAGTGCCCCGTCCCCAGAGGTCAGAGGGCAGGTCCCAGCTCTGGGAGCCTGGGGGGAGGGTGCTTCCTGCAGTTCTCTGAGTTCCGCTGGGTCCCCTTTCTACTCTTTCGGTTACTCAACGCCTGCTTAAGTCCCTACATTAAATTCCCTCCAAAAAGCACCTGGTGGGCGTCTGGGCCATTGTCCCTGACCAGCCCTGATGGACACAGATGTCCCCAAACCAACTTTTCCCAGCTCTGTTCTACCGAATCACAGGGCAGGCAGTGCTCCTGGGTGTTCTGAAGGGAACCCAAGAGGCTGCAGTCAGACCGGCGGGGCCACCTGCTCACCCGGGTTTTCTACTGTCTGGGTCACAGAGCCCCGGGGGTGGGGCTGGGGTGAGGCGCTGGAGTGGTGCTTTCATGGGGGACCCAGGCAGTCAAGGAATCAGCTTAAAGGAGTGGGGCAGGAATCGGGAGTCCTGGAACATGCTCCCAGGTCCTCGTGCCTTCCCCAGGCCTCAGGGTCATTGCAGGTGGGAACAGGATTCCCCGGCAATGGGTGACTGACAGCTCTGCAGGGTGGGCAGAGCTTGGTGAGTGAACTGGATGGTTGCAGGACCTCAGGACCCCTGCCCACCATTCACCTGGGCAGGTATACCTTGTGGCCTGCCCAGAGCTCCCCGCTCCCGCCTCAGAGCCACCTCCCCACCTACCTCCTGGCAGACGAGACTCAGCGACACAATCCAGTCCATGAGAGACGCAACCAGCACCACAAGGTAGGCCAGCAGCCAGAGGCTCCTCCGGAACTGGGACCACCCAACCAGGTAGCTCTGCAAGCAAGACAGGGGGTGAGCATCGGGAGGGCAGACGACCACACAGACGCCAGCCCTGCAGCCAGCCGAGGCTGTCAGCGGTCAGAGCACAGAGCACCTCAGCAAGCAGCATGGTCTCCACACGACCCGAGGAGCAGGAAGCTGAGCTCCCTCCCTGGGCACTAGTGACCTCAGGCAGCTAGTGACCTTGAGCTTGGCACTTAGCAGCTCGGGTGCTGGTTTCCTCATTGGTAACACGGTCCCTGCCCGCTCTGCCCGTCCAACCACCAATTCAGCTTGTGCAGCAAAATGCAAAGGCCCAGGACTCATTGTAGGAAAGACTCAGAAACAGAACAGATACTGGCGGGGGGCCTCCTCGGCTTCACCTCCCAGCAAGGTGGCCTGAGGCTGTCCCCAGTTCTGCCCTCACCTAACTGCCATTTCCCACCATCACTGGGGCCTTCAGAGGTCATGGGGTGCAGATGTAAGTGTGCACTCTGTCACCTTTGAAATTTCCCAACCATCCTGACCATTCAAAAAATGCTAATGAGCACTTCTCACAGTTTCAGTTCCAGTTTTAAAACCCCCGAGCCCTCCTAACCACATAATGGGCAGAAAAGAAGAAATAAGACGCTGCCCAGGGCCCTCAGTCACACACGCACCCACGCCACTCTTGGTCAGCACCCAGAGCTGACCCGCCCTTCCCTCAGGACTGCCCATCACGCCAGAGGCACCTCGTGACCCGGAGCCCGGGGCGGGGGGCAGGGAGGGGCCGCACTGCGGACCCAGACCAGAGCTCTGGATCCTCGTTGGACAGAAGTAACAGTGTTTCTCTACTTTCGGGGCGGGAGGGTGAGCGGGGATCTCTCCCCACAGCCAGACCCTCAGCCAGTCCCACAGGCCTGCAAGGCTGTGACCCTTGATGGCTTCACCGAGCCTCGGTTTTCACTCTGCGAGGGACACAGCCTCTGCTCTGAGGCCCAGAATTCTCTAAGAAACTGAGGTCTCCGTTCAGGGCGTTAGAGTGCACAGGAGGAAAGGCAGACAGAAGAAAAGGCGTTAAAAATAAATCAGAGCCCGGCCGGGTGGCTCAGCTGGTTGGAGCGTGATCCAGCACAAAGGTGTCAGGTTCCGGTCAGGGTGCGTACAGGAAGCAACTGATGGGTGGTTCTCTCACATCCATGTCTGTCTCTCTCTCCCCCCCCTTCCTCTCTCCCTCAAATCAATTTTTCAAAAAATCCTCAGGTGGGAATGAAAAACAATAAATAAATCAGAAAAGCAGCAGGCGGGCGGGGCGCCGGTCCGGCCTCCGCCCCTGCCAGCGCCCCCTCACCTTCACGGAGAGGTCGGCGGCGAAGCCCAGCAGGCAGAGGGCCTCCACGCTCTCCGTGAGGCCGCAGGGCGGGTTCCAGGGCTCCTCGCGGTAACGGATATCAGAGGTGCTGGTGAACGAAGAGGGCGTCTCGATAAAAGCCAAGGACAGGATCAAGAAAATGATGAAGCTCAAACTCCTGGAGCGGGGACAGGAAACAGTTAGAACATGAGAACCAGCCACACTCTGGGCCAAAATCCCCCTGGGCAAGCAGAGCCCCCGGGGCGCAGCAGGACAGCCACCGAGGGCCTGCCGGGTAGAACCACACTTCCTGCTCTGCGGCCGCTCCTATGTGGTCAGATAACACTAATCGCGGCAAAACAATTGCCACAGGGACCGGAGTGTTCTGGAAAGGAACCCCCACCGAGAAGCCCCTCTGTCTACAGGCCGGCTCCTTTCCAATGAGGAGGGCAGACAGCACCTTCTCCACTCGGGGACAGGAGCCTGCCTGGACCGAGGCCAGCCTCCCCCGCCCAGCAGGGCTTTGGGAACCCCCCACCCCACACGTGTGCGGTCTCACCACTGCCACGCGGCCGAGTAGTACCATCGGTACAGCCACATCGACCTGGCGTCCATGCGGTGGTTGATGGAGCGATACTGGAAGTGAAGGGTCACAGAGGGGAGCATCAGTGGGGGTCACAGCCAGCACAGCACAGCCGGCCACATGCAGGCCCAAGGCCGGGAAACGGGCTGTGGATCGCAGGGTGAGCTTCAACTCAGCATGCGGGCAAGTGCTCCACCATGACCCAGCAAGGCCACATCATGCCCAGCTGTCAGGTTTGCCAGGCAGATGGAGTGCCCCCGGGCCAGCCTCCCAGGCCAAGTAGCTCCGCCGAAGGGACACTGGTTTTCTGAATGCACAGCTGTGCCTTGTGCGCCTGCAGGGCTCTCTCTCTCCCCTGTGCAAGGCCCACACCCTGTCCCCACTTCAACAGTGTCACCCCCAGGATGCCCCCAGCCTACAGGTGGGGCACTGCTCACTTCCATACTCTATCTCCCTGTTTGAGCCTGCGTGTCATTTGTAGGTGGGGGATGGTCCTGCTATCTCTGGGCATCTTTCACAGGACCTAGGATGGGGCGGCAGACGAGAGGTCTCCTGCATGTGGCAAGTCAATAAAGCAAATGACTGGGGTCTCAGAAGAAGAAATCCCAGGGCCCACTTTTAGGGAGGCCATGTCCAGAGGCTGGGCCATCAATGGTTACAAGGGCCTACCAACCCTGGCCTTGGCCCCAGGACGGCGAGGATTCAAGGGGCCATCGGGGCAGCCATCACCCAGTCCTCACAGCCCCAGACAAGCCCAGGCCCAGCCACCGGGAGCAGGCACTGCCCACCTGGATCGCGTCTTCGATAAAGATCACGGCCTGCTCAAAGCACAGGTCCCGCACAGCCGTGGCACCTGGGAGAAAGAACAAAGATGTTGGGTGAAGAAGGGTCACATGGCACTTGCCGCTGCGGGATGACTGAGGTCAAGGAAAGAATTGGCCTCGTTCTGTCCTAAGGCTCAGGAACCAGGTGTCTGTCACCCTGCTGCGGGTCTGCACCTGCCCAGAAGGCAACCCCGCTCAGCGCTGTGCCCCACGTGACAGGCAGGGTCCAAACAGGTAAAGTGGCTTTTCAACGTGTGCAAAGTACTCTGGCTCCCACCCCACATGACCAAGTCCCAGGGAAAGAAACAGAATCTGGGCATGGAGAGATCAAAGGATACAGCTTCTCAGACAAAAAGCGACAGGCAGTCGGGGACCAGGCTCGCTCCAGGCCCAGGATGGGGGTGCAGCTGAAGGTGCACAGGCCCAGGCCCTGGCCCAGGCCCTGGCAAGCCATCACCGGCCAAGAGTAGTGGGCACTCTGGGAACTGTCCAGGGCTTACCCAACACTCTCTCCTGGCTTTTGGTTGCTAGTCTGTAAAATTCTGGGTGTGGCCACCTGAGCTCACCTGGCCCTCGGCCCTCCTTTGGGGCACCAAATCTCAGGAAGGCCCATCCTGCCAGGCTCTGCAGCCCAATGCCAGCCTCCCTTTCACAGCCCACAGCAGCCAGAGGGCTCTGTCATAAACCCTCCTGAGCACACCACAGCTTCCTGTGGGTCCCCGCAGCTCCAGGAGAAAGGCTCCCCTCAAGCCTGGAACTTGGGCCTCCTCTCCTGTTGTTTCCTCCACCCTGTGCCCTCCATGCCACGCACCCTGAACTTGGCTCCACCAAGGCCAAGCTCTCCAAGGCCTCCATGCCCTTGCCCAGGCTGTGAGCCCTCCCAGGAGCACTGTCTTCCACCTTGGGGGTCCAGGGTCTCATCGCCCTGGGTGGCAATCACCTGTCAGCACCCCTAGCACTCCTGGCCACAGCAGGAAGGAGTGTCGAGGTGGAATAGAGCACTGAGGACAACAGGGAATCCAGCACCGCATCCCATCTCAGTGCCGGGACCTGCACTGATGGCGGTTCCCCTCCCACAGCTCCCAGGCTGGCCGGCCCTGTGCAGTGGGCATTCCCTGGGCTCCCTCATTCCTCAATGCCCCTCAGGGCAGCACCTATAGCTACACCCCTTTTATCGAGACTCAGAAAGGTTAGGCAACCTGCTGACGTCACACATCCAGAAAGTCACCCAGACCTCCAGACACGAAGTCCGTGCCCCCCAAATGCCATCATATGTCCCTGCCCAGGGCTCTGCGGGGCCTGGCAGGGGCTGGATGGAGAACTTTCCAGGGGCAGTCTCTGAGATGGGCAGTCAGGCGGCCACCTCGGCCTCTTAAGTTTAGTCATCTCTCCTTTTCAAGACCGGCCACTGATATTCCACGGATGGGCACACACCACAGGACACCCCCCCTGGACAGAAGAGGGTGAGCCGAGAGAGGGACAGTGGCCCCGGCAGCACCAGATCCCAGAGCTATGACCTTGGACAGGTCCCAGAGACCGTCTGGGCCTGTTTCCTCCTCTGTAAAATGAGGCCGAGGCCCTTCAGGGACGGATGGACTCCAACCTCCCAGCCCTCCTCCCTCCCTGGGCATTCGGGGCAAACAGGAAGGCCGGGAGGGAGCTGCAGAGGGCAAAGGGAGGAAGCTGCCGGGGTCTACCCTACCCCAAACCCAAGGGGACCGGCCCCAGGGAGCCTCCTGGGACCAGGAACCAGGAGGGAGAGCAAAGGGACTCGCAAGTCACCCTGCGCTGGCTCGAATCCCACCTGGGCCACTTCTTGGCTGTGTGACCTTGGGTAGGGGGACGCCCCTCTCTGTGCCTGTTTCCCCAGAAAGAACCAGGGTGCTGGGGGGATGGAACTGCTGCCTGCTGGGGGTCCCCGCGGCGACCCACGGGCAGGACGTGGTCCGGTCCCC